ATGTTCCAGGTCCAACCTGCAGGATAAACGAAATAATAACCCCCCCAAAAAAGGCATTTGTTTATTCTTACTTTTGTTTTGTCTGCAGACAATAATCTGGGATAGATCTGCATGTAAACGGTGTCATTACCACGAGCTTATAATGTGAATATTTTACTTTGTTGAGTTATCCTGATTCTGTAATATCCAAGCACAAGGTCGTGAGTTCCTTATTAACATTCTTACACTTCTCTTGATGGACATGTGTTTATTTCTTTAGTTCAAAGGACTAAGTGTGGCGTCTTTTTCTACTGCACACAAGTTAAATGGCCAGACACAGCTCAACATCAAAGTATTTGCTAGGTTGTTAGCTTTTTCCCCCCCCACTTATGACTGATCAACAATCCAGATACTGGATCACTTCATACCTTAAAAAAAAGATACTCAGACTTTAGTGACGATCTCTTTTATTAGTAGTCAAAAGAGGCTACAGTATGTTAGCATCACCAGCAGTGATATGTTTCCATGCTGCATTCAGATTAGAGCATCGCAGATGAATGTTTTAAGGACAGTTTGAGATTAGAAAAAGAGGAAAGGCCACAGATTGGTCGAGTCAGCTCCAATTTTCCATGCCAGTCTAGTCAAAATGGCTGTTTCTCCATCGTCACTGACTGAATGAAATGAAAACAGTTGATCCCAGATAACAGAAGCGCAGATTATATCTGCCAGTTCATGTTATATATGAATTGTACGGCTATCCAAGCAGAGTAAAGCCGAACCCTAAGCCCTAAACATGAAACCCTCAAAGCAGTAATGTGAGTGTGCGAGTATAACGTGGATCGAAATGGTATAAACAGGAACCTTAAAGCCAGAATAGGTTTTCTATTATTGTGGCCTAGGGTCTGTCTGATCTGTTGTGTTCCAGGCTCCCACCTAACAGAGGAGACACGAGCGAACTGGCTCTTGGATAATGGATTTACTTGAGTTAGTCGAAATATAATACGTTTTTAAAAAGTGTAATAAGGCATATAGTGCATTGCGTTGACTTCTTGGGTGGCTGCTCCTCTCACTTGCTGGCTTTTCCTGTGAACTGGGAATAGTTCCCTAAGGTAAAGTCTGGAGAAACTGGGCTTAAGGATGGTGTGCATGGAGGAGTTAAAACGTGTAGCAGTGAGCCCTCACACATTTAACACAAGCACAACTCAAAGGTTTGTGAGCATGGACGCTGGGATTGAGCCAAAGGTGTCATTTTTATGTGTACACTTCAAACTGAAAGTGCCAATGCTACAAAAGGAAAATCATTAAAGAGTGTAGAAACTATGCTGTAGAACTCTGCAATGTAGAAATACTGACTGACTGGAAAGTTTGAGTGAGTTTTAGATGAAAGACAAGTTGAAAGCTAAAGTTTTCAGCGCCTACCACACATTTTCCATCAGAGAAACTCTACTGAAGTAAGGTCACTTTGAGTTTATGTGGTCCAAGAAAGCTTTGGCTTCACTAGTGTGCCCTACAGCCAAACTCTTTCCAAAGTTTACCTCTTTGATCAAACAAAACTAAACAGGGTCACATTTAGGCACTAACAGGCTCCACAATCACACCTCTGCCTCTGAGACTGGGAGACCCTGATGCTGTGCTGCACGTGGCCTCCAGAGGCCACTCTGCTGCTCTGAGCCCCACAGGCCTGTCTCCTCTCTCTTCATCAAACGTAAAAATGCTGCAGGTAGAAATCTGCTCAGTCGTCTTCTTTCTCAGC